CTTTCGTGCAGTCTGACTCTCATCCCCGTGTTCTTCGCAATCTCACTCGTAGCGCTATTTCTTTCCCCCTCGTGCGCCCTTACTTACCGCCCGCCGCCACCCCCCTTTTTAGTCCCTCCCCCGCCACCAACACATACTCGAAGTCGATCACATACCGTCCCTCGAGTCCCAAGCGTCTGCCGGATGCTTTGGTACCCTGCCAGTCCTCGCGGGCGCCCCCGGGTCTTGACAGAGGTGGGAACATGACTCACCAATGCTCTGTCGGACTGCGCAGGGCGGCTGGCACCGATTGCCTTGGCCTCCGCCAGTCGATCCAGGGCTCGTGCTTCTCAAGCCAGGGCATCCCCAGGATCATATCATATGGATCCATATCGAGAACAGTGAACTGTTCGAGGCTGTCAAAGTCTTCAAACTTGACAGCCAGATCCACTTTGACGTTGGGGACAGTGACGACCTTCCCGTCGGCCAGTCGCACTGACACCGTCCCGTTGCCCTTGCTTTCTCGCAAAGCTTCGGACAACTTTTTGCTGTTACGAGCAACCGTCTGGCGGCGTGCGAAATTCTTCGACGCCCCAGAGTCAATCAAGATTCTAAAGGGATGATCGTATCCCCGTACACATCCGTATACTACGAGCAACCCGCCGCTGCTCTTCGCCGATTCGAGAGTGCGAAGACTCTCAGGGGTTAAGTCCCCGTGGTACGCGCCACCCGCGCACCCATCACGAAGACATAGTTCTTCCCCAGTAGGGCGCCCCGCTTCTACTGGTTCCCTGCGTTCCCCTGTCCCCGGGATCCTGACTTTTGCCAGCGACCCTTGAGGACGGGCTTGGGGAAGGACCGTCTGCGGAGTCTTTCCGCGGGGCAGTAACGCTTGAAGTGGCCCATCTTCCCACAGCCGAAGCAGCGGATGTCACGCTGTTCGGCGGACCCGAGTTCCATGGGAACTGGTCCGTTGGGGCTTGTTCGACCGGGAGCCGACAAGGAACTCCCAGGCCACGCTGAGGCCGGCGTACGCGCCTGGCGATGGCTGTACTCTTCTTGAAGAGCCACTTGAATCGCCTCTTCAAGGGTGCTTGACTGCACCCGGAACAGCTGAGTGCGTGCGGTACCCACTCAAAGGCCGTCCATGAACACAGTCATCTTGATGTGTTCGTTGAGTGGGTTTCCCACTAGGGACGCCGTGAGCTCCCGTATCTATTGCACATACTCGTGCAGTTCGCGCCTTCCTTGTTTACACGCGAGGAAGCGCGAACGCTGGCGGTATTCGTAGTACGCCGGGAGGAACGCGGCTCGGAGCTGTTCGCACAGCTGAGCCCAGGATGTGAAACATCCAGGGGATGTTGCTTCCCGAGTGTACACCCAACTCTTAGCACGACCGCTAAGGTTGGAGAGTGCAAAAGCAACACGCAGTTGCTCGGTCAAGATCAGAGCCGCGTCCATCGCGAGCTCTACTTCTCGGACACAGAAGTGAAGGTTCTCGCCTTCCTTCCCTTCATACGGCTTAACCTTCAGCCGTATTGGCTTCGGGTGAGGCGGATTTGCTTCCGCCGCCGGAGCCTGCAGGTTCTCCCGCACATGCGCGATGAGGCCCTGCTCGTACGCGTCAAATGCATTAACGCGCTCGAGCTGCTCAGCCGGTGTTGACACCACCAGGCTCTGCAGGGCCTCCATCCCGAAGATGCCTGCCATCTTCCGAACCGACTCGAACTGAGAGCCGTTCAAATGGGAGAAGTCGTTCCTATCCATGGCAACGAACTTCGGAGAGGTTCAGGTAGTCTACCCGCGGTGGCGTGGATTGACTACGAGTGCTACCAAGTGTGACGGGGTCACACAGCACCTTGCGCTAGAGGAAGTTGTCTTCCGAGAGTATACAAACTCTCAGTGAACGGCAGCTCACAGGTCCCCTCTTTAATTAAAGAGAGCGAAGTGACCTAAATAAGGTAGATTGTAAACTGAGTATATTTATAGGTAGGTTAAGTTTGGGTTTAATACAAACTATTAGTTACCTGTAGAAATGCAATGTCATTTAGCCAATGATTGGCTTTGAACGATCTTGGTACTTTGTACCAAATATCCCGGAGTATGACGTGTCATACTCCTGAAGTGTGAAGTGTCACACTTCACGTAACCAGGGTACACTTAGGGCTACGTACCCCGTTACAGAGCCCGTTAGGGTGGTCCTATAAGGGGGCCCCAGAACGCCGGTGTCTTAGCGTCGTGGGACCAAAGCACCTCGCGTCATCAAGCCCCTTCCCAGAAGCTCTCCGTTGTCCCACGAGAGCTGACAACAAACGAAGTGAATCCTTTTTTTTAAGAAGTAGTGTAGTGTATGTAAGGTCGAGAAGGTGTTAGACCTCTCTTCCGGTTAGCTCTCAGTCTTATATTTCCCTCCTTCTACTCAAGAGGAAGCCAAGCCAATCAAAAAACGTTTTTTTCCAACTCACTAGTGTTCCTATCTACCGTTCCTGCAGCCACTGAACAAGACCGTACTCCCTGAACAGCCGCGGACTACCCGACCCAGGAGGTATACTGTGGTGTTGGAATTCCCTAGCTACAAATGTAGTTAGGACGTTCCCACAACAATACGTCTACTAGGATAGTAAACGATCGTTCGGGCGGACCTGAAGACCCCAGTTCTGCCCTTGCACCGGGACAAACTGGACCTTGTAAACTACTTATATAGGCCAACCAGTAAAAATAAGAACTCGCTGCTAGCACGACCAAAGCTAGCAGGTGT